ACGACGACCGGGCCCGTCCTAAAAGCTTGTCATCGCCGCTGATACACGGGGCTACAGCAAAAATGGGGGAGTATCCAGTAATGAGCCATAAATTAAACGGCGCATCTCTTAATGCCGCTTCGTCACGCAACCGCCTCAACAACTTGATACTCGGTTTCTTGGTACCGATACAACTCCAAACACCCTGTTGTCGCCTTGGAGATTAATTTCACCTCCCGTCAAAGTTATACTCAACGTAAAACAATTGGACAGAGTTAAACAGAAAGGAACCAAGCCACATCGGGATCGAACCGAGAAAAAGAGGTTTAAAGTTTGGCTCCTGCATAAGACTCAATGTAAAAAATAAACTTCAAGTTCAATTTCTGCAAAATTTGCTCCAACAAAAACTTTGAATTTTTGGCGATAGATAGTAGAGCAGTGGTTGAGTTCAAAACCACTCATGACTCAATTTTTTCCAAAATCTGGGTTGGTTCCTTTCTGCTTAACTCAGTCCAATTGAATCAGTGAGAACGAAAACACACCAACTCGGAAAAATGAAAATAATCAAGACACGCACAAAACTGCCGAGTAGGTGAAGAAGTTAGTTCAAGAAAAAGGTTTTTGTTGCCGGAAGATAGGTACTTATGGACTTTTTAAAGGTCAAAGTTGAAACAGGTGCGCTAACTTCAATGACCTTTATGTAAATTAACTGTCTTTAATGGAAATTGAGCATTTTAGAGTTACCGAGTTGGTGCGTGTTTTCGTTCTCACTGGTTCAATTGAGTTGTGTGCGAAAAGTGAAATTTAAAATCAGTCGCCAACTATGGAACATTTTACTGAAGTTATTCATTTAATTTTTTCCTTTATTTGGATGTATTAATACTAAAAAGAACCACGTTACACGCACAAAGTTGCTCATAGTTCTTTCCAGCATAAATACGTGGATTTTACATTGAAACTATCACAACTTACCTGATTTCGAAATTGTTTGAGTTACCTGAGCCAGTTTTATACAGGACTCTCGCGAGTTCCTTCATGTCCGACCTGCAAGTCTAAATTTTAATTTGAATATGAAAAATCTTGATCTAAAATTATTTGAATTTTATCTCTCTGGTTCGATTTGGGTGCAGGTTTATTTGACTCTTCGAAATTTTCTAAATATTATAATTTAGATCTTTCAAAACCATTCAGAAAACAAGTAAATGGTTTCTTTTGTATTCTTACATATATCGACGGTGAAACTACCAAACCACGTATCTCGTTTGCGGTGTTTAAAAATCTACGCTCACATTTTATTTTCTTGAAGCAGACCAAATCAATATCATTCCTTGAAATTTTCACGGAATTTTCTCCGCACAAAGAGGAAAAATCACGGAAATTTTCAAGACTGGATGTTAAATAGTTTTTCAGTTAAAAAATAAAGTATGACAGGAAGTCTGCGACGTCGCAAACCGAGATACGTGGTTTGGTAGTTTCACCGTCGATATGCATTTGGGGTGGTCATTTGCTGGAAAACTAAGGCCGAAGACTACATAATTGTCACGTTAAGCCCCTTTAAATAAATGAACAAAAAATCTTAGGCTACGCAGAAAGTAGATTTTTTGTGATTGTTTTTTTTACCAAATTTAACACAGACTATACGATTCAGCTATTTTTCGAAAATCATTCTTCGTAATCCTTAGACTCTGAATCGTGACAATTTCCTCAATTTACACAGCCTTTTGAGTCAATTTCATTGTACGCCAAAATATTTTATTCGCAGTAGGCATTCAATTTTTGCAAGGAAATTTCTCTCTGCTCATTGGGCGTCTATTGGAAAAAATATGTAAGTTATCCGCAAAGTATGGCAACTTCGCGAGAAGAATCTGCCGTCTTTGCTCGGGGTTAGTTTTAGTCCTCGCTCCCTCAGTGTTCTTTCGGCGGGGGAGTGCAGCGGTGTGCCGGGTATTGACAACGCGGTGTGTTTTTGACGGTGTACATTCACGGTTCGAATGCTGGTTCTTTATGTTGTGCGTGCAATTCCACGTTAATATAGAATTCAGCCAGAGCAATCTCCCTTGAGTTGTTCTCTTTGACTTTTATCTGTAGATCGCAGAGGAAAGGAAGCGTTGAGTGCCGCAAAACTTAATTGTTAGTTAAATATTTTATTTTTCCTCGATTATGTAAGCGGTTTCGTAATTTAAAACCCTTACAAGTAAAAGGTACACTGGAAAAAAAATACATTGGATCTAGAGTCCAGACTCTTAAAAACATCGACAAGAAAAAGTACTTTTGATTCAATCGGATTTTTGCTGAAATCAAGAACCAAGCCTCTTAATTTGAGCGGATTTCCTTTTGATTTAAGCAGAAATCTGATTGAATCAAGAGTATTTTTTCTTGTCAATGTTTTCAAGAGTCTGAACTCTAGATCCAATGTGTTTTTTCCCAGTGTATATTAAAAGATCAGCGGCTGATATTGCATTACATGTCACTTTATACAATTATGACCTGCACAGGGGCTTGATACTCTGTCTGGCCCCCACAAACTAGGTATTTACCTGGTTGTCAGTTTTATTAGATTTTCCAGTTTGGTTAATCATTGACGGAACTGGAACAATGTTTGTCATAAATTGTTTTCCTTTTAATTTGTGGCAAAAACTATGATACTGATGCGAATTAAAGTTCAAAACTTCGGGAGCGACTTGTGGAATATTTGTGACTTACTGTGATTACATCTTTTACCTCCAGATTACTGAAAATTTCATGTTTCCATCTAATTTTTCGCTCAAGGCTATTTTGCTTTAAACCTTAATTTCAAACTTTCAGCTTTAGAGCTTTCGAAACGTCGACTTCCTTAGGCGTTCGTTGTATCATACAGAAGAAAATAAGTAAATAAAATAAAATAGTAAATAAAAGTAAATTTAAAAAAATTAAATTATAGAAACTACATTTTCTGACGAAAGTCGCAGTTTTGGTTTTTTCTCTTTCTATTTTTTGAGTTATTTTTTTGTTTTATTTCCTTACTTTAATTTGCATAGCTTGGCATGTAACTTCTTCGGAAATTAACGCTCTAAAGATGGAAGTATGAAGTTTCAAGAAGAGCATCCGCAAGTAAATAGCATCAAAAATATTCAGTGATCAGGAGTTAAACACCTTCACGCAATCTCAATAGCACGCACCCTGACCAAACAAAATTCTCGGCAACGATTCCCTGGTAAAAATTGGCGATAAGAGCTGCGTTTCAAAATACTATAGGAATTCTTATAGCCGGCTAAAGAAGGCTACAGAAAATCATATAGCTGGCTGTAGAATGCAGAGAAAATCATACGGCCGGGCTATACGAGGCTATAAAAAATTATGCAGCCGGGCTATAGTTCCTATAGCCCCGCTTTACACTTTATCGCCTGGCTGTTGCTTTTTCGCCATCGATTATAAAAGGCCACAAGAAATTGTGTAGAAATTCATGTGCTTTGGAAATCATTAAGTTTGATACGTAAGCACCTTAATATTTACAAAACACACGTTATATTTTCCTTTAATACATATGTTTTTCAACAATTAAAACGAGAATAATCCATACAGGATGTGCAAACATTTCAAAATCATGAGTTGAATGACGCTGACTCCGCCAGATTAAATATTAGAGCCTAATTTAAAGCGGAGCGGCGACGCACTGGCGCCTACAAACCTAACAGGGATACTTCACGCATTGCGCAACGCGTGAAGTATCCCTGTTAGGTTTGTAGGTGCCAATGCGCGTTTCGCGCTGGCTGCCCGCCTGCCGCACCGCAGCGTGCCACGGCGCTTGAAACAATTATTTCACGCCAGAGGTATTGCACAGTATCATACGAAACTGAAGGCGGTCTATTATAATAGGAATGGCAGGCATCCATCAAAAGTACGGAGCTTTCCTCGCAAAATAAATCAACATACTACGGCCCAAAAAGAGAGCAGTGGTCCAAAAACTCATCAAGTCCTAGCATCCGTAATTAGTGACGTTTAGCATACACTTTATCGCCTGGCTGTGAGTTGCTTAATCGCCATCGGCTATAAAAGGCTATAAGAAATTGTGTAGCCGGCTATAGACACTATAGGAAATCTTACAGTCGGCTTTAGGTCTATGGTATTTTGGAACATAGATTCTACTGCCAATTTTTACCAGGGTTCTGCAACTTAATGCGACTAATGGGATCTATTTCAGCAGACCTACTGGTCAGTTCCGTGAAAATATTAGGCCATTACCAGAATTCGAACCTAGAACCTATTATTGACCTAGAATCAGGTGCGCTGACCACTTGGCCGGCGGTGCGACATCTATACCTTAATCCTCGATTGACTTGAGTCACCTCTCGACAGATGGACATTATCGATTACAGTTTTTGATGAGCAAACAGAAGAAACTGAGCCTGTCACCTTGAAGATAAATTCTATATTCTTATGAACAATTTGTTCAAATAAATGCTTTTTGAACTTTTCATTCGATGTGTCACAGGCAAAAAGCAACCACGGGCATTTTTCAAGCCACCGGTGATAAATTGAAGAGTATAAAATTTAGAAAAAAAGGAGCAAATTATTTGTAGGTCACTGATTATTTTTCCTTTAACGGAAATTGCCACTTTTTCCTCCTTGAAAACATGGTACTAACAAGCACACTCAAGAAAGCACGAAGTGAAAACCGTGACCTTAGTTGGGTTTAGGGTTTAATAAGTATCACAAGCGCCAAGCGACGTTTGCAAATTTCCGCCGCCATTATTTTTTTTACGGAGAAATTGTGCAACGAAGCTATCCGAAAATTTTACTGAATTTTCTTTGTGCTGCCGATTCAATTCAGCGAAATTTTTAAACGGATTCAACCATTAATTTCTCTGTATAAAAATATGAAATGGCGGCGGAAATTTTGGAATGTTATATCGCGCTTAAGAAACTTTGACGGGGGGTGACGACATATCGTCTTCGTCGGCTCTTTTCATTAGATAAAATTTCAAATTGTATGCTCGAGTCAAACATTTTTTTCTAAAATGTGGCTTTCTGTCTGCTTCCAGGTGAAAAATGTGCGATAGCTGATGAGGAACATGGGAGCCACAGACGGTCAGATCGTGGCAGCAGCAGCGCGTTGGGCGGACGAAGGACACTACCTGAAGGAGTTCGTGGCCAAGCAGCGGCTGCCCGCGGTCGTCAAGATAATCAAAGGCCAATATGGTGGGATCGGGGTGCCGACGCTGCCCTCGCCAGGGCTCCAGTCTTCCATCCTCCTCGTGTCGCTGGGCCGCAGGAAAAAGATCATCGCACAATCGGTCAAGCTAAAAGAAGGCCGTCGGATAGTGCCCGTCGGGCCGAGGATAGTCATCCCGGAGACCTACGCCGGGTACTTCGAGATCCTCAGCGAAGAAGGGAAGTCAGTCCGGTGCATAGAGAGCGTCGCCGAGCTCAGCCGAAGACGCCTGGAGGCCGGGTGTTTAGTTCGGGAAGCAGTGCGCGGGATAGTAGGTCGCTATGAGGATGACGGTTCCGTATCGGCAGACGGAGCGCGCATCGTCCAGGTCGGCGAGGTCCTCTTCCCGGAGGTCGAGACGAACCTCGGCAACTCCAAAGCGCGCTACCTTCGCTGCGTCGATTCCCTAGGCGACATCCTCCTCCTGGGCCTCGAGCAGCGGGGCAAGTTCAGCGCCCTAGCCAAAGAAGACAACATCAGCGGCGTGCACACCGCCAAGAACCTGCTGAACAAGCGCTTGCCGCTCACCGTTCGGCTCGCCCACGGGACCCCACCGCGGGGCCTCAAGAACGCCAACAACTTTGTGCCAGAGCTCCGCCTCCTATCCACGGTAGAAGAGGAGCACATTTTCGCCCTACCCTTACAGAAAGAAACCGGTTCCATCGTGGTGCTCCCCCTGGCGGCTCCGCTCAAGCTCCAGCGCACCCGCAACGAGGAGTACCTCAAGGACCTGACGGAGTTCCACCGGCTCGTCGAGCGATGTGATAGGCTCGTGGCGGAGGTGGCCGACCGCGCCTACGTCCTGGAGGGCAAGCTCGGCGACCCCAAGTCCTCGCGGCTCGCCCCCAGCACCCCCGCCGCCAAGACCGGCTACTTCCTCCGGCGCAGCGCCTCCGTCGACTCCAACCACCTCTCGCCCGGCCATATCAACAACGAAAACCGGACCCCTCGACTGCACCCCGAAGACTACGACGAGATAGACCAGATCTACGACTACGTCCGCGGCTTCGCGCCGCTCCCGAAGAACATCCGGTCGCCCTTCCCGTGCGAGCCCATCGACGATGTGTCGTCTCCGCCGGCCTCGCCGAAAGACAAGAAGCCGGAGCCGCCGCCGATCGAGACGATCCCGAGCAAGCAGTGCTCGAAGGCGGAGAAGCGGACGCGGACGAAGACGGTGTCGCGGGAGGCGCCGGTGCCGATGGTGAAGCTGTACGTGAAGAACGGGAACACGCAGCGGGGGCGGCTGCTCCGGCAGAAGTCGAACCCGCTGAAGGAGCAGGTGCCGCTGGTGAAGTCGGGGTCGCCGATCTTCAACATCCGCTACAAGTCGATGTCGAACCTGCAGCACGGGATGGAGTTGGACGGGACGTTGGACTCTAGTCACTCCGGCGGGCGGACCTCGGGCGATTCCGGGGCCGGCGCCAAGTTACCAGAGAAGCGATCGCGAAGACTGAGCCGCCCGCGGTCCCTGACGAACCTCGTCTGGGAGCTCCCCGGCGGCGAGGTGGTGCTCCCGCACCCCCTCCCCCAGGTCCTCCCCCAGGACAAGAGGCCCAAGCCCATCAAGCTCGAGGCCGGCGTCCACAGGAAGAACTCCGCCACGCATAAGCTCTCGCTCGTCGGCCAGAAGCGGATCGGCACCCTTTATCTTTGAAAGGTAAGAACCAAATCATCTGTCTTAAAGCTGGACGTATTTCTATCAAACGGAACTAAGCGCTATATGGGGAGGAAGGGAGATGGGGGCTTGGATTGGCGGGTGTTGCGGAACGCGATGCTCGTTCCGTCCTATACTCGCAATGTTTTCCATGGCGCTTAGTTCCGTTCGACGGATCGCGCTATCCGGGTTTCTAAAATCCTCAAACGGAATTCAATTTGGCGCTTAGTTCCGTTTAACAGAAATACGTCCAACTATCTATTGTGAAAGTTGAATTTACAATTTCCAGGAATTGGTTTGCGGAAGTGCATTCTTGTCATTTTAGAAAAATTCCAATCGACTATTTTATCCGCAACATGTATGCTCATGACTCTTAATTGGACGTATTTCTGCCAAACGGAACCAGAGACATATGGGAAATAAGGAGTGTGTTCCTCAGTCGAGAACCGTAAGAATGAATGGGAACTATAAAGCGCCAGTGACGTCAGCGGCAACGAAGCCGTCTCCGTTGTCGCTCTTGGTCGGAATTAAGTCAGCCCTGTCCACAACGCTCTTCTCCCATGCCTACAGCTCATGAGTGCCGCACTCAGTAGGTATAGGCACATAGTTCCGTTTGACAGAATGTAGAATCCTGCTTTTCCATTTTACCAAAAGGAATCACGCCCATTTTTACATTGTTCCTCATGGAGCTTTCAAGAGCTCATCCCATCTTTCCCACTCGTCTACGGTTCCGTTTGGCAGAGATACGTCCACTTTTCATCCATGGCCAACTGTGCACACGTATACCTCGGACGCACATACTTAGTGCTTGGATACTTCTTATTAATTTCTCTAAGTAGCCAACCATTCGTGCACGGCAAGATTGCAAACGCAATATCTATATTCTGCCCCAAAGTTCAGATCTACAATGGAACTAGGTCTTATCAAAGAATATGAAGTTCCACCGAAACAATCACAGACGGTTGTCTGTGGGCTTTGTCACGGGCAGTTGAGGCCTAGTCCCGGTGCGGCCCTAATTGCGGGGTCGCCAAAGCCTTCGGCCGGAGCAATTCACACCATTTGGACGTATTTCTATCAAACGGAACTATGTGCATTATAACGTGAGCCCTGTTACGCATGTATTCTTATGGGTCTCAGGGTTCATGTCTTAATGCACATAGTTCCGTTTGATAGAAATACGTCCATTTCTTAAACGCAGCGGCGGGGTGGAGCTGAGGACAGGCGCTGACACGGCAGTTTAATTACGGGCACACGTATGCGTTTTCGCTCTGACACGACATCGACAATGGCCGGCTTATCTAATTAATTATGCCCGCGCTCCTGCCTGTTTCCAATAGCCGCCGACAATGTAACAAGTTTCACTTTCCGTGGAAAATATGCACAAGGTCCCGCCGCATTTGGTTAGCGTGTCAGCGAGTGTCTTGCACCGGCTGCGAACCCACGTTGTCGCCCCAGTCGAATAACCCGTTATACTGCCATGCTGAGGAAAAACGCCGTATGAGCCTCCAGGCGTCGCCAAATTTCCTTTGACAAATCACTAATTTTCGAGAAAATTTGTCAATATTTTTCTTCCAATTTCTCGGGTAATTTTGCTTGCAATTTTATCTGGAAAGTTTGCAAATTTCAAGGAAAATAATAATAGTTTTACCAGAAATAAACATTTTATAGGAGGAAATTTGGCAACTCTCGAGTGTTCATACGGCGTTCTTCCTTAGCTCGGCAGTCTAACCGTGCCGAAACTCCAAAACCACGTATCTTAATCCGGCCGTGTTAAGCAAGAACGCAGTATGAGCCCTCAGACGTGCCCAAGTTTCTTTCGATAAAAATCAAATTCACCGGGACAATTGTGAATATGTTTTTCCAAAATTTTCAGACAATTTTGTACACAATCCAAAAACAGAGTTTTGTACAAATTTTGTATAATTGAATCTAAAATTTTTCAAAATGTCAAGGAAAAATGTCATGAATGTCGTCAAAAATACATGTTTTATTGACGAATATCTGGCAACTCCTGTATTTACATACGGCGTTCTCGCGTTCTCCCTTAGCACGGCCGAATTTCAACGTTTTAAAAGATTCACGTATTGTTCCCTAATATTATAGATACCTACGCCGAGATGAAATATATGTAATACTTCATTTTATCCGCTTGGAATAAAAAGTGCATGGTTGATCGGAATTTGCTCTGACTTTCCTTCGTCATTTCGTGGTAGTCTGATAAAATTTCAATCTGTAACGATGACTTGTTTTCCTTCTGGAAAATTAAGTTTTGAACCGCTGTTATAAAGACAATGGATACCGGACTTCTATCTAGAAAAAATTTCAATCCACTGCAGTAATTTCTCCCAAAAAATGAAGTTTACTCAAAAATTGTGTAACATCGTAATTGAGATGCGTGCTTATTCCACTGGCCAAAATATGTCTGAGGGGGTCTATGTGCGTAACTCAGTTTACACATGATTCTAACTTTTAGTCCTACTGTTCGGTGATATGGGTCTCTTGCATGATGAGACCACAAAGCGAATCAACAATTCAACCCGGCCCTGCTCTGAGGTCCCTTCCTTGAAGATGTGACTTTAAAATTTGAGAGGACAGAGCTCAATGAGAAAAAGGGCGTGGTGGCTGGTAGCTCATACGGCTACGCTGACCATAGGCGGTTCTAGACCTTCATTCTTGGGGGTGCCCAGAGGTGGAAAATGTCGGACACCGGCTCCAAAGGGGACGGTCGCTCAGGGGAGGCCTAAGTTTCGGCCCTCAAGTTTTATCCCTTCCCTACCCTCCTTTCTCTTTTTCTCTCCTTCCTCTCCACTTAAATACCTGTAAATTCAATTTAGAACATTTTTAGCAAATCTTTCCATCATAATTACAATCTTACCATAAAATAAAAAAGTGGAATCTTTGTAAACCACGGCTATCAATTTTAATTCTGTTTAAAACATGTTTAATTAATTGCTGGGATTTTTTCTCAGTGTGAGCGAATACAGTAACTTTCTTTAAAAACAGTAATTTCACGGTCCCGATAACCGTACTTAATTTTTGCTTGGGGGTGCCTGGCACCCACTGGCATCCCCGTAAAACCGCCTATGACGCTGACCACAAAAATTTCGAATTTTGACGTTGAAGAGTTCCTTCTAGCTCAGGACCATCGATCACTCATATAAATCTAATAAGCACCGGTTGCTTTCCATGCATTATTAGCGAGACCCTATTGGAAGAAACCATCATAGTGAAGTGCTAAACTCCAAGCACCATATTTTCCCAAACACGAGGTCTACTCTGTCAATACTGGATGTAATGACCTTGCATGCTGACACAGCTTTCCCCTGCTCGTGTGAGCATAAAATTCAAATTTAATGCATGGTTAATACTTGCATGTGTAGGTCATGCAAAGTAGCTTGCATGAAAAGCTATGATTTATCCCGAGGAAGTGGCAACCGTGCAATTTATGAGGCGGTTGAGATCTCAGTCGGCCGAAACTAACGCGTTTCGTGCTGCCATTGTCTACTGGTGGTCGCGCTGGAATCGCTTTCATCCTATCGTATGAGATGGGAGGATAAAACTTATGGGGGAAGAACGTGTAATTTCACCTCTGAAGTTAATGGCACGGCACCTGTCGTGTTAGGAATCACGTGGATCTGACCTTCGCTGCGTTTTCGGTGTTTTCAATTAAAACTGACATAACGAGATACTGCAGGATATCGCAGAAAAGTGGAGAGGCTGAAACCCTGAAAACTAAGGATATAAGAAGTATATATCGGCTGATCCTGTGCTCCGCTCACAGTGAGTTTTATCCCTTTAGGAGTAAAATTTAGGTCAGCGGGCCGATTACTGAAATTGATAGACAAAGCTATAGACACAGAAGACAAAATGGATTCGGAGGGCTCCTATTGGTGGAAGCGGGTGGTTGAAATGGACAAAGGAGGTATAGGATAACTAACTGACGGCAACCCACGAGAAATCCTATAGTTAGTCCATAATTTTCTCCTTTAAACAAAATGAGCCGCCCATTTCAACCAATAGGATTGCTCCAAACTCTCTTTGTCTATTTTGTCTATCGCTTTCTCTATCAATTTCAATAATCGGCCCGCAGTGCACGGTTAGTCGAATCTATGGTTTCCTTGATTTTTTATGAGACTCTACTGATTTTGAACCTTTATCAACTTCAAAACAAACTAACGTTATCTTTGGGCCAACACTAATGTATATTCTTCATATAGTGGCTACTGCATGAGCAGGGCCGGATTCACCTACTTGCCGCCCATGGGCCACCTATATTTTGCCGCCCCCTTCTCATTCGTTTTGAAACTCGATAAAGAAACCATCAAATGAACGTGCCAGCGGAGGAGGGGTGCATAAGACGCATTTACTCGTGTTGAGCACATTTTTTGGGAAAGCCCTGTCAACTCTACTAGTAAAGCAAAACTTTGCGCGAAAATTAAGTTCCGTAAACCTATCTCTGTGTGGACAAGGCCTTCCATTCATAAGAAATGAACGAAAAAATTATGAAAGAACAAACATAAATGTGGTTCAATGATTTTAACTTCCGCCGCCGCGCCGCGCAGACCGCACCGTGTTGGACGCAATGCGTGAAGTATTCACGCAGTCTTGTAGGCGCTATGCATTTCACGCTGACTGCACTGCGTTTGGCGCAATGCGTGAAGTATTCATGCATTCTTGTCGGCGCTATACGTTTCACGCTGACCGCAATGACCGCGCTGTGTTTGATGCAATGCGTGAAGTATTCGTGCAGTCTTGTAGGCGCTAATATGTGTTACATGCCGATCGCCGCCCCGAAGGCTTCTCCTTTTCATCTCAAGTCCTCGTCATCATTTCTCTCTCAGTTCCTGGCCAAATTGCGTGTTTGGTTTCTTTCGTAACTCGACTTATTGAGGGTGCTGTCTCTTGTATCACTAAGAGACGACAAAATTAGAAATTACTATACTCTCAGGAAATGAGAGATTTTGTCGCCTTTTCTCGTTTGCAATTTTGTTTTTATAAATCCG